GGGGACAAATGAAGGAGTTGTTATTGTTAAAAATTGGATACTCTGGTTTAAATTAAACAAGATAATGTGGACAGTTTATTCTATTTTATTTAAATGCAACTGGGTCGACTAGTCTCAAATTATCATTTGGAGTCATTTGAACCAGAGAAATGTGTTCTAGCATTTTTGTGTTTAGACATTTCCTTTCACCCATCTTAAGTGTTCTTGCTCTCTTCCTTAGGATATGGTCTACCAGATGATATTGTGATAGAAAAGAGGGGCAAAGGAGACACTTTTGTGGATTGCACAGGTGCAGATATTAAAATCTCCAGTATAAAATTTGTTCAGCATGATGCTGTAGAAGGAATCTTAAGTAAGTATCTGAAAATTTGTTGTATGATTTGTCCTAGGCTTTGAAGGCAAACTTTACTTTCTATGGAAGATAATTTTATGAAATACCACTCTTGAGTATATGGAAGGCTGATTATTTATTTATGTACATATATAGCACCATGACTTAGGATGCTTACCCCAAAGTGAAAGCCTATCTTGAAAATTTGTTAGTTTAGGGCCGGCCCGGTGGCGCACTGCTACAGTGCGCTGCTTGGGAGTAATATTGGTTTCTTTTCTGTGTGATCGTTTTTTTCTTCCTTCTTCAACTTTCTTCAACTTTGCAATGTTGGGATCTGTGTTCTTTGTATTCATTTTAAAATAACACTGGTCTGAAACTAGCTATCTTCAGTATTTGTTTCCTAGGATCTGTATCCCCTTTCTTGAATCAGGGTCTTTTTCTTCTCCCAAAATTGCTCTCTGATACATTTTTTTGATAATGACAAGTGCTTTTGCATTTCTGAGGTCAAGTTTTTCTTTTTAAAGAGTGTTGCTTTTAGATTTTAGAAAATAATTCAAAATAGTCATTGTTTATGTTTTATGAAATTGTAACTCAGGTTGCAAAGTTTAAATGGTAGCTATTGAGAAATATTTAGACTTGATCTAACATCAGCTCTAGGCTATTTCTAATACAGGAAAAGGTGCATTACTTCTTAAAGCAGTCGATTGTATGCTTTCATCATAGTCATTCACCGTGGCAAGACTGTATTGGAAAACTGTGTACTGCAATGTGAAACTACAGGAGTCACAGTACGAACATCAGCAGAATTTTTAATGAAAAACTCGGATTTATATGGTGCCAAGGTATGATATTCTCTCTCTCTATTTTCTTGGCAGCCAGATGGTATTTTCTTCTATTTTTTTCCTAAAAATTTTGTAGTTATACATTTTACATAGGTTGTGATTCATTTTTTTTGTTATTTTTGGTAGAAGATGTAAAGTTTAGGTCAAGATTTGTTTATTTGCCTGNAGAATACATAATTTGTGTAATAATCTGCTTTTTCTCAATAAACAATTCTTTTTATATTTTTATTTTTCTGATGGCAAAAAACAATGGTTATTGTAGAAAATATGCAAAGTACAGGCAGACATATACAAAGAATCAGAAGCAAAAGTCTCATAATTCAGTCATCCACCGTCTACCCTGGTAACATTCCAGTGTATCTAGTCCTCTTACATTCTCTAGTGCCCCTGAAGACTTGTCTGTACTCTTCAAGTGTAGATAAATTCAGTGGCTTTGCTTATTTAATGCAGTTACTGCTTTCATTTACTCAAACAAAGACTCATCTTTAGACAATGACCATTATTTTTTACTTATAGCTTTGTCTGTGTTTTACAGAGAAAGGCAGGCAAGTTATAGTTTTTTGATACTCCAATGTTTTGTAAACCCATTCAGAGGGCTCAGCCTGCATTATTAGCTCAATTAGGATTTATAGAGGTCTGATGTTTTTTGTTGGTTAACAAGGCAGATCTTTTTTCCTGTAGCCAGTTTGTCAGATTTTAAGTCATTCTGTTTAAGAGAAAATTAACATTAGATAATCTTGAGAGATGCTTAGGTTTATTCAAAATGTAATTTGTATTAGAATCATAGAATCTTAGAGTTAGAAAAAAACTTAGAAAGGCTGAATACTTTAAAACCCTTTGACCTAGCTGTGAGTCCTTAGGATTAAATAATCCTATTTATTTTTTATAGCAGTTTTTATAAGCGAATTTAGTGCTGAGCTGGTCTGAGATGGTTGATAGGGTAGTCTTCCGGATATGGGGACAAATGAAGGAGTTGTTATTGTTAAAAATTGGATACTCTGGTTTAAATTAAACAAGGTAATGTGGATAGATTATTCTATTTTTATTTAAATGCAACTGGGTCGACTAGTCTCAAATTATCATTTGGAGTCATTTGAACCAGAGAAATGTGTTCTAGCATTTTTGTGTTTAG